AGTCTTAAAACAAACAAAAAAACCAAACCAAACAACCAACCAAAGAACCTCCCCTTCCTGGGGGTCAGTGCAGTGTGACTAGTGTGGCCCCTTTTCTGGTGGTGTGCCCTTCCCACGGATCTAGGGAGCTGTTGACTGGCACTGTCCACCCAACCCTGAGGACCTCCTCCTTGGCACAGGTGTGCTCTTGTGCTCTGTGCTCTCACAGGCATTTTGTGGGGCCTGCTGGCTCTCCCTCTGCACCCTTCTCCAGCTGGCCATTCCCATTTATATTCTTATTCTTCCCAAGTCCTTAGCTGTAGGGAGAGTTCTTGCACAGCTCAGCTGCCGGTTTGATGCTGGAGTGTTTGCACCTGGCCTTTTGTGTCCCCCTATCTTAGAATTTCCTAAAGGCACGAAGCCTATACAAAACTTGGTCGCTGGAGGACTCAGAAAACTGAGGTGCTCTGTGACTGGGAATTGTTTGGCATCCGTCTCTTTGGGGAGCTTCCGATGAATGGTTTTGGTATGTAGAAGATGACCTGCAAAGGTGTGAAAAAGAGCCTTTTGCAAAGCTACAGTCAGTCAGTTGGCCAGAGGCTGACTCCCTGGCAGCTGTGAAGGCTAGAATTCATCCTAGAGTGACACCGATTCTTCCACAGACCCGTGTGAACGGAACACCCAACACAACACTCAGCCAGGCGGCTCAGCGTAGGTCCACACCAAAGTGGACAGAAGGTGATGCTTGGATCTGAAGTTCTGCCTACAGGAAGGCTTTCTCTACATCTCTCATTCATGCTTTCTCTGAATGGGAGCCTAATGCAACTACCATCCATATGTGCCTGGTGTCCACTCCCAATGATGGTCCACACGGAAACCCAGCCTGCATTTTCCTCCCTCTGGAAGGAGTCACGGGCCATTCCCATAAGCTGTAGATGGGACAGCAGAAAGAAGCAAGAAGAACAGGTGTCTTAGGAGTCTGAGATGTGTGCTAGGCACTCACTGAGTCCTCCAAGTCCTTGGAGTCTGACCCCCGGCATCTTTCCCCTGGGGGATGGAGTCCCCTGCACATCTACAGCATCAGGGTTTCGCGCCTACACTGCACTTGCAACAGGACAATCAGGTCAAATCACAGTGCCCTTGGTTTACACCTCTGCAAGATAGATACAGCTCCGCAATGCCTTGTGGTCCAGGATACTGATTCCCCTGGGCCCAGTCACAACCAGGAATGACCTTCCAGATACGAAACTGGCTGTTTTCCCTGAGGCCCATCGTTCAGCACTGAGACTGTCCTCTTGGAGCTTCTAAGAGGCATTGTTTAAAAAAAAGCTGCACTTCCCACATATGTGCCCTTCCCCACTGCCTTACGATGTACCCCAGGCTAGCCCTCAGCTTGAGATGCTGCTACCCCAGTCTTCCGAATGCTAGGGTTGTAGGTGTGCACCAGCACATCTGGCTGTCACTCATTGGTTCCTACACACCCAGCCAAGGGCGGGTTAGAAAAACACAGTCGCAGCGAGAAGAGGTGTTAAGTTTTGGCGCGAGTCGGTTTGGTTTGAATAGTTCATCTCCTGTATAATCTGTTGCTCTTCCCCACAGCATCTGTTTGTCATCTCTGGCCTGATGTTGAATGTGTTCACATTTATCAACGTCTGATGCCAGCTCAGTGCCAGCCAAGACTGATTTCCTCTTGCAAGAAGTGTTTGCCCCATTCTACTTGTGTAACTGGGGATGGTGGGGTTAGAGAAATCTATTACTAATGACTAACCCATTGCTAAATAAATTAATAAATACTGGGCTACTCTCAGAGGATAAAATATTAGGGTGCAGATTTGTTTTCTCTGCAGAATCATGAGCTAGCTTAACACACACACACATATACACACATATACACACACATACACTCTGACATATACTCACACACACAAACTCACACACATACACATATACACTCACTTACATACACATACACTACACACATACACACACACTCACACACATACATGCTCACATGCACACGCACATATGCTCACACATACTCACACTCACACACACATACACACGCTCACACACACTTACACATACATATACTCACACATACACATGCACATGCTCACACAAACCAGGATTGAATACAGGCTTGCGCACCCTCTGCCATATACCTATCTTTTGGGCTTGTTTTTCCTTTTACCACGTGGGTCCCGGTGACTGAACTCAAGCTTTGCTTGGGTCACCTTTAATCCATGTACCATCTTGTCAGCCCTAATGTCATTCTGAACTGGACCTTGACATCTTCTCACAACTGGTTTCTGACCCTGTCTTGGTTGAGCCCTGACCTCAGCCTAAAACCCTGACTCTTTTGTGCATTTCATATGTGAACACTAAAGAGCCTAGCATCATGGTTCCCAGAGGCTATCCGGTCTGAAAGACAGCTTCCCATGCTAACAACCCAAACCTTATCAGTCTTCAGTGTCACGTCTCCAGAAGCTTTCTCCTCTTTAACTGATGGTCTCACACAGGCTAGGCAAGTGCCCTACTGCCGATTGCACCAAAAGCCCACCATTCTGTACAGACTCTATGTATTGAAGTCAACATAAAAAAGACATGCTTGAAGCATTTACCTAATTAATCGTTATCAATAAAACTGGGGAGTCGGATATCGGGGTAAGAACCTTAATGACCAGAGAAGCTGTGGGGGGAGCCATCAGTGACCTCCTATCTCTCCCACTCCTCCATACAAAAAGGGCTGAGATCCTCTCTCCGCCCCACCCTACTATTTCCTGTCTCCTATCTGTCCTCAGTCCTCCAAAACCTCTGTGGTTAATTTTGGTCAGCCAGTGGCCAGCTCTGACTCAAAGCCAACTGTATTGTCAGAATGTGATCAAAGTAGCACACAGCGGATGCCCACAGGCCCACAGCATGTGGTCTCTGTCATGGTGATAATGGCCTGAACCTCTGAAACGGTAAGTGAGCCACCCCAATTACATATTTTCTTTATAAGAGTTGCCATGGTAGAGGAGGGCCTAGGCCCTCCCCCGAATGAGGGAGCAGACTGATGATCCCCTATGGAAGGCCTCTCCCTCCTTAGGGATTGGATGGCGTGTGGGATGGGAAGATGGGAACTGAGACTGATATGTAAAATTTCAAAAAGCCTTAAAAAAAAAAAAAAAAAAAAAAAAGACCTGCCATGTATCTCCTCCCAGCAATGAAAACCCTAAGACAGGGCTGATATCCAAAATATCTAAAGAACTCAAGAAACTAGACATCAACAAACTAAACAACCCAATTTAAAAATGAAGTACAGATCTACACACAAAACAGGGCATTAAGCATTGTCCTTGGCTACTAGTAATGCTCTGGGCCACTCATTTACAGGTCTAACTCCAATGCACAAACTGACTGAGTGGAGCCCACTCTATAAGGAGAGATACCTTGCCCAGCCCATATAAGGGGATTTTGGGGGTGGAGAGGTCCTGACTCAACTAGATGATGGGACAGACTTAGTAGACTTCCTAGAGAAGGCCTTACCCTCTCAATGGAGCAGAAGGGAGGTGGGGGAGGAGTAGGGGAGGGAGAGGAGAGGAGGGAGGGAGAACTGGGATTGGAATGCAAAAAAATTAACAATAATTAATAATTATGGAGAGTGAAGACTGTCAGAAGTGCATTTAAATAATCATAATTCACGATTTTTGAGAACTCCTGGGAGAGCTGCCTTGCTGACCCTGACCTCAGAGATGAACACGTCAGGAATTACCAACACTGAGAAGCTAGCAGAGTTTAGTTTGGTTTGGTTTTCATTTTACCTTATAATTTCAGATGACTTCTTGTTAGTGAATGAACATGCTTTACTTTAAAATTTAAAATCTAGAATGAAACTATTTTAGAGTGAGCCCCGGAGCAAGCCATACAAAAAGGTAATAAACTAAACACATGGAACGGGGAACAGCATCGCCAGTTTTCGTGGAACTGTAGATCAAAGTGGCAGCTGTTGTAAAACCTCAGCTAGCACAGTCTCACCTCAGCGAAACTCTAACTAGATCTGCCAAGGCAGCTGCACACTGGGACCTCTCCTGGGAAACTTGAGGCTCAGCTCCTGACAGCATTTGGAGCTTGGCTACCATGCCTGTGGCAGCCCTAACATGAGGTGCAGGTCTCCTCATGAACACCAGGGGGCAACAATAAACCACATATCAACAGGGAAACCTCTCCTGGAGGTGTGAGGTCATCTTGCTGCCTTATTGGCATCCCAGTTCCAACAGAGCTGGAGCTCCCTCAATAATCATTTCCTGTGTCTCTGAGAAGCCCACTCCTCAGGGAGACCTAGGCCGTCCCCTCCCTCCTCTCGTCATCCATGAAGAAAAAAAGGGAGATCACAGAGCAATCAAGGAAGAGAGCAAAGGCATACAGGAAAGGTCAGAGGGCATGGGCAGACCTGAATCACATTCAGCCAGCACAGGAGGATGGGGGGGTGGGGTGGGGTGTCTCCCTGGTGTCCTCCATAGGAAGCCGGAGCACACAGTCCTCTTTCTAGGACACACAGGATATACAACCCCTGACATAGCTTGTATCCTGGATCAGACACCTGACTGGTGACACCAGTGACAATGGGTCAGGACTCTCCACAGCTACACCTTTTCCAGTCCCTAGAGAGAGCTGCCACCCTCCCAGAGCTTTGGGAACACAGCACAGGCTGGGATGGATGGGTTTCTGTGTCACAAGGAAATACACTCTTGCCTATGGAAGTGCAGGGACTCCCTCTGATGCTAACAGACAAGGCCAGGACACAGCAGAGGGCAGCCCTGGGGTGAGTGCTGGTCTCTCAGGACACAGGACACGTATCAGTCTTGTGGCTAAAAGTGTGTTCTAGAACACTGAACCAGAAAGGAATAGAAGGATGGAAGGCAGGACTGGCACACAGACTCCACCCCCAGCCCATGTGACTCCAGGAGGTGCCCTCCTCTGGGAGGAGGCTCAGGCCTGGGAAGAAAAGCAGAGCAGACACCAGAGCAGCCAGGCTTGACAGCAGCCTGAGAGGCAAATCTCCTCTAAGAGGAAGAGCCTAGCAGGCAGCAGAGACCATGGAGCTCACCTCAGCCCCTCTCCACAAAGGGCAGCTTCCCTGGAGGGGACTCCTGCTTGCAGGTGAGGCGAGCAGAGGATCTCAGAGACTGGGGGGGGGTCTTGGGGAGAGGGAAAGAGCCTGAGAAGAACCATCTGGCTTCTGCTTGAAGCCCGAGAGCAACAGGAAGCTCCCAGTGAATGTGAACTGGTGAGTGGGGAGGGAAAACTCAGTTGCTCCCCCTTGTAAGTTTATCAGCACTGGCCACTGTGTCCTGAAGACTGACATTCACAGCTCTGTCAGGGTGACTCTCCAGGTAAAACTCAACCTGGGGTCAGTAAGCAGCAACATGACATAGGACCCTGAGAAATCGGCAAACAAACCCCAGGCTCTGGGACAATGATTTGCTCACAGGCATCTGAGCCTGTTCCAGGCAGTAGGGTTTAAACCAAAATCAAAGTAGTCCTCCTCACAAAGTCCTAGTGCTACTGGGCAGGAAGACACAGCAGCAAGGACATCTAGAAGGTGGCCTCAGGGATGACAAGCATTTCAGAAGAAACAGAGCAGGGAAAGGGCAGCAAATGAAGGCACAGAGTCTGTAGAGGAGGAGGTCAGAGAAGACATGCCTACACTCCCCAAGATTCTGAGTGTGAGCAGGGATCTGAGGGGGTGAGGGGTGAGCTGTGTAGACACCTGAGAATGTACTGTCACTCGGGGACAGATTCAGGGGTCCTGAGGAATGGAGGTGATGCTGCTGACCTCCCCCAACAGGACACACACACACGAGAGAGAGAGAGAGAGAGAGAGAGAGAGAGAGAGAGAGAGAGAGAGAGAGAGAGAGAGACCATGGCTGAGAGTTGAGCACACTCAGGTTACAAATTTCTACCAACTGCAAAGTTTCTGACATGGATCGACTTTCTCTCTCCCCTCTTAGCCTCACTTCTAACCTACTGGAACTCTCCTGCCACTGCCCAAGTCACCGTTGAAGCAGTCCCGCCCCTGGTTGCTGAAGGGGCAAACATTCTTCTACAGGTCCGCAATCTGCTAGAGAGCCCTCAAGTCTTTTACTGGCACAAGGGAGACTCTGTGTATGAAAGTAATGAAATTGCACGATTCATAACGTTTATGAGTAAAAATAAAACAGGGCCTGCATACAGCGGCAGAGAGAGAATATACCAGAATGGATCCCTGCTCTTGCAGAATGTCACTCAGAAAGATGCAGGAATCTACATGCTACATATGATAACAAAAAACTTTGCTTTCATGACTGAATCTGTGCAGGTCCATGTACACCGTAAGTAATTCTCTGTAACCTCTGGGTGGTGGGTGGAGCTAATCCTACTTCACACATAGGATTGTCCGTCCTGGATGACGCTGTGTCACGGTCCCCACATTGTGGTTCAAGCATTTAGTAAAGGACACAGAGTGGAGAAAACAGCAATAAATCAGGATGTCTCCCTGGATTCTGCACTCAGAGAAGAGGGGTGAGGTTCCTGAGCCCAGGCATGACAGACTGCCCAGGGTCTTAGCTGCTCATCATGAACATGGCCTTGAGAAAACCCTTCAGGACTGAGGCAGGATCTGGTGAGGAAACCATCAAATTCTCACAGAGAGATGAGCGTCTGAAGCTTTGCTCCAGACCTCTGTCCAGACTGGACCAGGAATCCAGAGAAGCTTGTAGACAGGGTTGGAATTTGGAGCCGAAAGGGGACAATGATGGACTGTAGGCTGGTGGCCTCCTGACTGTCAGCCTATGAGTGCCATGTCTGAGGTAGGTCACCGGGGCATCTGCTCCTGAGACTCAGTGTGCTCAGCATAGGTGGGGAGGTGTGACAGGCAGTCAGCAGCTGTTCTGATGGTCTTCTGAGACCTCACAGGAAGGTCAGGAGCCCTAAAGAGACAGGAGGAAACGTGTATAAATGGCAGCTCCTTGGCCTCCTGGGGTCTAATCCAGGGATTATTTCCTGCAGGCAAAAGGGAACAGATACTGCTTGGTCAAAGGTCAGGCCACTGTTCACATTTAAGGTTAACTTGCAGGCATGACAATGGTCATTTACCATCTGTCTTATTATAGAGAATCTGAGATAGGAAACACAGTCACTGAATCAGGGTCACACAGGCCATGGGTGGCACAAGCTACCTGTCCACCACTACACCTCCTGTCTCCCACCATGGGATCATCCAGGTCATTTTGTAGACTCAGGATTCTTTTAGGGTTCCCTGATTCATGTCAATCAACATCAAACACCTGACAAGGATGACCCACCTGTAGCCCCTCCCTACCTGAATGCCAGCCAGATCCTGACTGTGTGAGATCTCTGACAGGCTGTCAGGTTTCTCAGGGAAGCTCAATGGGAAGACTAATCATGACCTATGTGTAGGACAGCCATGAACAGCAAAGGCTTGGAGGGCTCTGGTCTACACTGAGCAGTGGAGGTCAGTGCAGCTGGAGGGACTCACGTTGTGTCTCAAGGCACGCAATGGTCAGTGAGGACCAGGAGATAAAATGAGGTCTCTGATTCCAAGGCTTGAGTCTGTCCATCCCCAAACACTGCAGCTCAATTCAATCATGAGAAAGCCCTGACTTCTCCCATACACAGCTTAGGAGGCCCCATGAGCTCTGAGCACTCAGAGATTCCAGCTGCCTGTAATTTGCTTCCTGCCTGATTCTATAAGGATTTGGGTAGGTGGGGAGATAAGAGACTATCTCTGGTTGGGAGAGGCCCTTGCAAGAACCACATGTACCAGACAGGGCAATCTTCTCTCTGTTGTTTGCACAGCACAGCTACCAAAGCCCAACATCACAAGCAACAATTCCAATCCCACGGAGGGTGAACACTCCATAGCATTAATGTGTAAGCCTAAGACTCAGAATACAACCTACCTGTGGAGGATAAATGGCCAAAGCCTCTCAGAAGATGGCAAGAGGGAGCTGTCTGACGACAACAGAACTCTCACTTTACTCACTGTTGTGAGGAATGACACAGGACCCTATGTGTGTGAAACACGGAAGTCAGTGAGCACCTCCCGAAGTGACCCATTCTCTCTGAACATCACCTGTGAGTATTGTCTGTTTCATCCTGGCTACAACCGCCTAAATGGAGTATTAGGCTAAGATACTCAGTTCCCTTGGGTTCATGACACAGACCCACCACACACATACCTAGGCTAGCCAGGACATCCTGGCCTAGCCCAAGCATGTGGAGACAGGCCCAGCACTGAGGTAGAATGGGATGGAGGGATTTCTTCTGCCTAGAGAGGCTGGGGGTGATGGAGACAAGGGACATCTCAGACTCAGGCTCAGTGCACACGTCAGTGTACAGTGGGGCTGTTTGTGTGCTGTGCTCGGGATGGGTCAGGGCTTGTGCATGCTGCATAAATAATCTTCTACTAACCTGCACACAGCTCTGGGTGTTAGCTGTTCATCTAATATTATAGCACAGCTCAGAGAGATACCATGGCCTTCTGCGACCAGGATTTCCCCTTCCCTCTGCTGACATCACATGTGGCTTTCTTCTGTTTGCTCCAGATGGTCCAGATGACCCCATCATATCCCCCTCAAATACTCATTTCCAATCAAGGACAAACCTCAGCCTCTCCTGTGATGCAGCCTCTAACCCACCTGCACGATACTCTTGGTCTGTCAATGGAGTGCTCCAGGCATCCTCCCAAGAGCTCTTTATCCCCGACATCACTACTAATAATAGTGGGTCCTATACCTGCTTTGCCCATAACTCTGTCACTGGCCTCAATAGGACCACAGTCAAGATCATTACAGTCCTTGGTGAGTGAATCTCTGCAGTATCAGCACCAGGTTTGGAGCAGAATCGTTTTGCTTTCTGGGAAGATGCAGGAGGATTTAGTTTCCATCCCCTGTCTATGGAAAGAAGAAAAACTCAATCCTCCCCAAGCGTCCTGCTCCATCCCTATGACTAATGATCTCCTGCTTCTCTGACCTCTCCTGGTGTAAAGGGAAGGAGCTTGAAATGTGAGTAGGGGGTTCTCTCAGCCTTGGAAATCATCGGCTTGTGCAAGTGACCTCCCATGGGAGGGACAGTGTTTATGACAATATACCTTTCGGTTACTAACACAAGCCTTCCTGTCCCCTCCATGTTCTTCTTATGGTCTCCGTGACCTAGAAGGACACCAGGGCTTTCAACTGTGCTCACATTCTTTTCCTCCAAATGAGAGGAGAAAACTCTGCACATTTGGGGACCAGCAGTTCAGAGCTCTGCTCCTGTCCCATGGGTGTCTGGCTCAGCTCTGACTCCATGGGAAGATGGAGAAGGTGCCTGGGAGGCCGGCTCTGAGTCAGGGTGAACCATGTCACTGAATATTTGATGATGTTCCTTCCCTTACTCTTCTCAAGGTTTAAGATGCAAAAGTTGACGGAGTGAGGTCACGCACACCTTTAATGCCAGCACTAAGGAGGGAGAGGCAGGGAGATAGTGTGAGTTCAAGGCCAGCCTGGTCTACATAGCAAGTTGCAGGCTCTCAAGTCTGTACAGTGAGGCTCTGTCTCAAAAGCAAATCAATAAGGTTTAAAGTGGCAGGCTGCTGTCAACACTGTGGTTGTTCATTTATCCTCTGTGGTACTTAATGCATATCCACGGGGCATAAAATAAAATCTTTCTTCAACCTGAAATTCTTTAGTTTGGGATTTCTTCCAATCTTGAGGTCTAGGATTTAACACCTCTAAGATTGGCTGGGCCATCTTAAACCTAAGAAAATAATTTAATGAAAAAGAAATAGAAGACTATTTTATATGGAAGGACCGGACTATTCCCACTCACAGAAAGTGTGAGACAAGAATTTGCACAAAAATCAATGGGAAAAACATCCCCCCCCCCCGTAGATTTGTGGAAACATTGGCTGAAGAGGCTCCGAGTGTGGAATCTACACAAACACCCTGTGTCAGAGGTCACTGTGTGTGATCTGGGTAGGAGGAAGATTCAGCTCTCTCCTTACAGACCTTATCTTGAGCACGCAGTCTCGCAGAGGGCCACGTCATTCTGTGTCCCTGGGAGCTGGCTGAGGTCTTTGAGGGTGAAGGACTCTCAGCTGGTCCCTTCCACTCTTTATCCACAGAGCCAGTGACTCTGCCCGTCATCCAAGTCACCAACACCACAGTGAAAGAAAATGACCACGTGATGCTGACCTGCGTCTCAAACCACACTGAGGTCTCCATCCATTGGCTCTTCAATGGCCAGAGTCTGAGGCTCACAGGCAGGATGAAGCTGGCCCAGAACAACAGCACCCTCAGCATAGACCCTGTCAGGAGGGCGGATTCTGGAGAGTATCGGTGCAAGGTCTCCAATCCAGTCAGTTCCAAGAGGAGTGACCCCATCCAGCTGGACATAATGCGTGAGTGACGTCCCCTCCTTTGTTACTCCCTACTGTGGGGTGGGGCCATTTCATTATCAACAGTGTGCAAAATGGGTAAAAGTCACAAGGAGCAAAACACGGCTCAAGATACAAATATAGCCGGCTTGGCGATGGATGCATGTTCATCTCATGATAAAACATCAAACCAGCTGAGCATGGTTCCCCATGCCTTTAACCCCAGCACACCAGGGGCAGAGACAGCCAGATCTCTTTGAAGTCACAGACACCATGACCTTGGTCCCCTGGCCACTGTATCTGGGCCACTGTGTCCTGAAGACTGACATTCACAGCTCTGTCAGGGTGACTCTCCAGGTAAAACTCAACCTGGGGTCAGTAAGCAGCAACGTGACATAGGACCCTGAGAAATCGGCAAACAAACCCCAGGCTCTGGGACAATGATTTGCTCACAGGCATCTGAGCCTGTTCCAGGCAGTGGGGTTTAAACCAAAATCAAAGTAGTCGTCCTCACAAAGTCCTAGTGCTACTGGGCAGGAAGACACAGCAGCAAGGACATCTAGAAGGTGGCCTCAGGGATGACAAGCATTTCAGAAGAAACAGAGCAGGGAAAGGGCAGCAAATGAAGGCACAGAGTCTGTAGAGGAGGAGGTCAGAGAAGATGTGCCTACACTCCCCAAGATTCTGAGTGTGAGCAGGGATCTGAGGGGGTGATGGGTGAGCTGTGTAGACACCTGAGAATGTACTGTCACTCGGGGGACAGATTCAGGGGTCCTGAGGAATGGAGGTGATGCTGCTGACCTCCCCCAACAGGACACACACACACACACACACACACACACACACACACACACACACACACACCCCAAGGGTGAGAGTTGAGCACACTCAGGTTTCAAATTTCTGCCAAATGCAAAGGTCCTGATGTTGACAGATTTCCTCTCTCCCCTCTTAGCCTCACTTCTAACCTACTGGAACTCTCCTGCCACTGCCCAAGTCACTCTTGAAGCCATTCCACCCCATGTTGCTGAAGGAGAAAATGTTCTTCTACAGGTCAACAATCTACCAGAAAAAGTCCAAGTCTTGTCTTGGTACAAGGGAAGAACTACGAATGAATCCAATGAAATTGTAAAAATTTTAATACCCCAAAAAACATATAAACCAGGTATTGCATACATTGGCAAAATAAATATAAGCCTCAATGGATCCCTACTCTTCCAATATGTCACTCAGAAAGACACAGGACTGTACACCCTGATTACAATAATGGAAGATGGTCATAAATGGAGTTCATCTGTGCACTTCTATGTACACCGTAAGTTATTCTCTATAACTTATGGGTTGTGGGTGGAGCTAATCCTACTTCACACATAGCATTGTGAGTCCTGGATGACGCTGTGTCATGGTCCCCACATTGTGGTTCAAGCATTTAGTAAAGGGCACAGAGTGGAGAAAACAGCAATAAATCAGGATGTCTCCCTGGATTCCACACTCAGAGAAGAGGGGGTGAGGTTCCTGAGCCCAGGGTCTTAGATGCTCATCATGAACATCTAAGGGGTTGAGAAAACCCTTCAGGACTGAGGTAGGACCTGGCTTAGGAAACCATCAGATTCTCACAGAGAGATGAGCGTCTGAAGCTTCACTCCAGACCTCTGTCCAGACTGGACCAGGAATCCGGGGAAGCTTGTAGACAGGGTTGGAATTTGACCTCCCTTTGGAGCCGAAAGGGGACAATGATGGACTGTAGGCTGGTGGCCTCCTGACTGTCAGCCTATGAGTGCCATGTCTGAGGTAGGTTACCCAGGCATCTGCTCCTGAGACTCAGTGTGCTCAGCATAGGTGGGGAGGTGTGACAGGCAGTCATCAGCTGTTCTGATGGTCTTCTGAGACCTCACAGGAAGGTCAGGAGCCCTAAAGAGACAGGAGGAAACGTGTATAAATGGCAGCTCCTTGGCCTCCTGGGTCTAATCCAGGGATTATTTCCTGCATACATATGGGAACATATGGGAACAGGCCACTGTTCACCTTTAAGGTTAACTTGCAATCATGGCAATGGTCTTTACCATGGGTCCTATTATAGGGAAACTGAGACAGGAACCACAGTCACTGAGCCAGGGTCACAAAGTCTATGGGAGGTACAATCTCTGTCCACATCAGCATCTCCATCCTCCCCACAGTGGAGACCTTAGTAGGAGCCCTACAGTCTTTTAGATCATTTCGTAGACTCAGGTATCTTTCATGTCAATCAACATCAAACACCTGACAAGGATGACCCATCTGTGGCCCCTCCCCACCTGAATGCCAGCCAGATCCTGACTGTGTGAGATCTCTGACAGGCTGTCAGGTTTCTCAGGGAAGCTCAATGGGAAGACTAATCATGACCTATGTGTAGGACAGTCCTGAACAGCAAAGGCTTGTAGGGCGCTTGTCTACACTGAGCAGTGGAGGTCAGTGCAGCTGGAGGGACTCACACATTGTGTCTCAAGGCACGCAATGGTCAGTGAGGACCAGGAGATAAAATGAGGTCTCTGATTCCAAGGCTTGAGTCTGTCCATCCCCAAACACTGCAGCTCACTTCACTCTTGAGAAAGCCCTGGCTTCTCCAATATACAGCTCAAGAGGCCCCATGAGCTCTGAGCACTCAGCTACTCCAGCTGCCTGTAATTTCTCTGAGCACTCAGCTACTCCATCTGCCAGTAATTTGCTTCCTGCCTGATTCCTTTAGGATCTGGGTATGCGGGGAGATAAGGGACTATCTCTGGTTGGGAGAGGCCCTTGCAGAAATCAGAGGAACCCGACAGTGCAATCATCTTTCTCTTGTTTGCACAGCACATCTATCAAACGTCAAAGTCACAAGCCTGCTTGACACTGTTTGGGAAGGTCTGTCCTCAAATAAATTAACGTGTGAGCCTAAGATAAATAATACAATCTACCTGTGGAGGATAAATGGCCGAAACATCACAGAAGATGGCAAGAGGAAGCTGTCTGACGACAACAGAATTCTCACTTTACTTAATATTGTGAGGAATGACACAGGACCCTATGAGTGTGAAGTCCACAACCCAGTGACCATTTCCCGAAGTTTTCCGTTTTATCTGGAAATTTCCTGTGAGTATTTTCTGTTTCATCCTAGCTCCAATAGAGTAAATACAGATGGCTAGAGAAAGACACTCAGTCACCATGGTTCCATGACACAGAGCCACTACACAGATACCTAGCCTAGCCATGGCATCCTGTTCTAGCCCAAGCACATGCAGCCAGGCCTAGCATTAACTAGAATGTAATGGAGGGAATTCTCCTGTCTAGAGAGGCTCGGGGCGATGGAGACAAGGGACATCTCAGACTCAGGCTCAGTGAACACATCAGTGTACAGTGGGGCTGTTTGTGTGCTGTGCTCGGGATGGGTCAGGGCTTGTGCATGCTGCATGAATAATCTTCTACTAATCTGCACACAGCTCTGGGTGTTAGCTGTTCATCTAATATTATAGCACAGCTCAGAGAGATACCATGGCCTTCTGCAGACCAGGATTTCCCCTTCCCTCTGCTGACCTCACATGTGGCTTTCTTCTGTTTGCTCCAGATGGTCCAGATGACCCCATCATATCTCCCTCAAATACTCATTTCCAATCAAGGACAAACCTCAGCCTCTCCTGTGAAGCAGACTCTATCCCACCAGCACGATACTCTTGGTTTGTCAATGGAGTGCTCCAGGCATCCTCCCAAGAGCTCTTTATCCCCGACATCACTACTAATAATAGTGGGTCCTATACCTGCTTTGCCCATAACTCTGTCACTGGCCTCAATAGGACCACAGTCAAGATCATTACAGTCCTTGGTGAGTGAATCTCTGCAGTATCAGCACCAGGTTTGGAGTGGAGTCGTTTTGCTTTCTGGGAAGATGCAGGAGGATTTAGTTTCCATCCCCTGTCTATGGGAAGAAGCAAAACTCAATCCTCCCCAAGCATTCTGCTCCATCCCTATGTCTAATGGTCTCCTGCTTCTCTGACCTCTCCTAGCTGATGGAGTAGAGCTTGGAATGTGAGAAGGGGGTTCTCCCAGCCATGGAAACCCTTGGGTTGTGTGAGGGAACTCTCAGGGGAGGGACAGTCCTAAGGTCCATATTTCTTTCTGTCACTAACACAAGCCTTCCTGTCTCCTCCATTTTCTTCTTATGGTTGCCATGACCTAGAACGACACCCAGGGCTTTCAACTGTGCTCACATTCTTTTTCTCCAAATGAGAGAAAACTCCCCACGGATGGGAACCAGTTCTGCCTGTCTCTCGGGTGACTGGCTAGGCTCTGACTAGGTGAGGTGGGAAGAATGGGTATAGAAGGTTCCTGGGTGCCCTGCTCTGAGTCAGGATGAACCATGTCACTGACTATTTGATGATGCTCCTTCCCTTACTCTTCTCAAGTTTAAAAAGCAAATGTCACCGTTTGTGGTGGCAAAAGTAGTAGGGCTTGCTGGGATAGGTAAAGGCAGAAGGATCAGGAGTTTGAGGCCAGCAAGGTCTACATAGCAAATTCCAGGCTAACCAGGAATGTACAATGTGTCCCTGTCTGAGAAAAAAATCAGTAGAGAGGATTAGAGTTGAAGACTGTTTTCAACACTGTAACCTTTCTTTTCTTCTCTATGGTGTTAACCTATATGCTTGGGGCAGGGAACAAAATTTTTCATATCCAATTTCTTCCATGTAGGATTTCTCCCAGCACTGAGGTCTAGGCTGTAACACTCTAAGATTAGCTGGGTGACCTTACTCCTATGACAAAATGTTTAAAGAAAAAGAAACGGAGGGCTGCTTTATAATGGAGGGACCTGACTGTTCACATTCGCAGAAAGTGTGAGACAAGAATTATCAGAAAAATCAATGGGAAAAATACCCTTCCCATCCACCATAGATTTGTAGACACATGGGCTAAAGAGACTCTGAGTGTGAAATTTACACACACACCCTGAATCAGGGGTCACTGTGTGTGATCTGGGTAGGAGGAAGATTCAGCTCTCTCCTTACAGACCTTATCTTGAGCACACACATGCAGTCTCACAGAGGGCCACGTCATTCTGTGTCCCTGGGAGCTGGCTGAGGTCTCTGAGGGTGAAGGACTCTCAGCTGGTCCCCTCCACTCTTTATCCACAGAGCCAGTGACTCTGCCTGTCATCCAAGTCACCAAAACCTTAGTCAAAGAAAATGACCACGTGATGCTGACCTGCGTCTCAAACGACACTGGGGTCACCATCCATTGGCTCTTCAATGGCCAGAGTCTGGGGCTCACAGGCAGGATGAAGCTGTCCCAGAACAACAGCACCCTCAGCATAAACACTTTCTTGAGGGCGGATTCTGGGGAATATGAGTGTGAGGTCTCCAATCCAGTCAGTTCCCAGAGGAGTGACTCCATCCAGCTGGACTTAATGCGTGAGTGACCTCCCCTCCTTTATTACTTCATAGTGTTGGGATGGGGGAAATTTATCAACAGTGTGCAAAATGGGTAAAAGTCACAAGGACAAAAAACATGACTCAATATACAAATACAGCCTGCTTGGTGATGATTGAATGTTCATCCCATGATAAAACACCAAGCCAGCTGAGCATGGTGCCCCATGCCTTTAACCCCAGCACACCAGGGACTGGATCTCTATGAGTTCACAGCCACCTGGTTTTTTGTTTGTCAGCTCTGGCCACTGTGTCCTGAAGACTGACATTCACAGCTCTGTCAGGGTGACTCTCCAGGTAAAACTCAACCTGGAGTCAGTAAGCAGCAACATGACATAGGACCCTGAGAAATCGGCAAACAAACCCCAGGCTCTGGGACAATGATTTGCTCACAGGCATCTGAGCCTGTTCCAGGCAGTGGGGTTTAAACCAAAATCAAAGTAGTCCTCCTCACAAAGTCCTAGTGCTATTGGGCAGGAAGACACAGCAGCAAGGACATCTAGAAGGTGGCCTCAGGGATGACAAGCATTTCAGAAGAAACAGAGCAGGGAAAGGGCAGCAAATGAAGGCACAGAGTCTGTAGAGGAGGAGGTCAGAGAAGACGTGCCTACACTCCCCAAGATTCTGAGTGTGAGCAGGGATCTGAGGGGTGAGGGGTGAGCGGTGTAGACACCTGAGAATGTACTGTCACTCGGGAGACAGATTCAGGGGTCCTGAGGAATGGAGGTGATGCTGCTGACCTCCCCCAACAGGACACACACACACACACACACACACACACACACACACACACACACACACCCCAAGGGTGAGAGTTGAGCACACTCAGGTTTCAAATTTCTGCCAAATGCAAAGATCCTAATTTTGATAGATCTTTCTCTCTTCCCTCTTAGCCAAATATACAACTTACTGGAACGTTCCTACCACTGCCAAAGTCACTGTTGAAGCAGTCCCGCCCCACGTTGCTGAAGGCAATAGCATACTTCTACTTGTCCATAATCTGCCAGCAACAGTCCAAACCGTTTACTGGTACAAGGGACAAAGTGTGAATAGGAGGCATGAAATTGCAGGATTCCTAATATCCAAAGGTAGAAATGAAACAGGGCCTGCATACAGCGGCAGAGAGACTGTATTTCGCAGTGGGTCCCTGCTCTTCCGGAATGTCACTTTGAAAGATGCTGGACCCTATTTGCTACGTATGATAATCGCAAACTTTGATGCTAGGCTATCAGTAAATTTTCAAGTAGACCCTAGGTAATTCTGTTTGCCCTCTGGTGGGGGGAGCCATGCTGTCACCCCTGGGGAAGGCACATAAATGTTTTGCCTGTGGAGCTCTCTATCAGGCATGGCCCTTTGGAGAATACCATCTGTTTGTCGAGGACCCAGGGAAACAATACTGCAGACCTCTGTGCTGATCCTAGGGAGCTCATGGGCTCTAGGCCTCTCTAACTTTCGCTGTGCTTATTCTTGTGATGACTCTTAGTTTTGCTTTCTTAGTGGTGATTATGCTTGGATTTACTGGGAATAAAAGCCTCTACAGGAAAACTGAATTGCTCTGATCTGTTACAGAAAATGGTTCCCCCCCCCCCCCCGCCTTTGCAGTCACCCTGAGTAAGCAGGAGGAACTCACTAAGGTTAATGGTTACTGCTTATCAATTCCAAAATGAGATAAATATACGCCAAAGAACTTAAGAACTTGGAAAGTGGTTTCTTACCAGATGACATAAAAACATATAGGAACATTTGAGGAGAAGATATAATACATAAAAGGTCAGACAGTTCTCTGGCACCAGGACGTGAACATTCAGATAATTTTCCAATGTCAAAATATCAATAAAGGAATCTAAAACTCCCAGTATCTTAAAATAATAGTACATACAGAAACTGCCAGGAAGATTAGAAATGTAGTCCCAGCAGTTAAAGTGTTAGGTGATAATCATTACTGTATTGAGAACTTATAAAAATAGGTTTATGAATGCAATCCAAATAAAAGTGACATACAAATTACTTACAAATTGGCATACACCTGAAAATGATATCCTAAGCTTAACAGTGCATTCTGCTGATTACAAAAATATAAAAGCATCCTAAAGTTAAAAACTTGTGTAGGGCTTAAATAGCTCACTTTTTAACTGCACGTTTGCTGCCAGCTTGGGCACAATATGAATAAGATGTGCCTGGCTAGATATAAACGTTTGGTTTGCTATATAATGATATGGGGTAAAGGTCAATGCAATAAAGGGAGTTGGAAGAATTAATTATGTTAATAATTTTTGGAAAAGAATTAGAGACAAATGATATGAAACTAACATGCACATTAGAACTTCCATAAATTAAGATGTCCTGAGCTAGTTGGGGCCATCAGATTAAAAGAAAACCAGTGGAAAGACTCTTCATTCTTCACCAATTTCACACATCCATCCTGAGATAGAGAACCCCATTTAAGGTGGATTCCAGCACTCAGGGTCAAGGGTGGAGCTAATCCTACTCCACACTAGCACTGTCTGTCCTGGATGACTCTGTGTCACGGTCCCCACATTGGGGTTCAAGCATTTAGTAAAGGACACAGAGTGGAGAAAACAGCAATAAATCAGGATGTATCCCTGGATTCTGCACTCAGAGAAGAGGGGTGAGGTTCCTGAGCCCAGGCATGACAGACTGCCCAGGGTCTTAGCTGCTCATCATGAACATGGCCTTGAGAAAACCCTTCAGGACTGAGGCAGGATCTGGTGAGGAAACCATCAAATTCTCACAGAGAGATGAGTGTCTGAAGCTTTGCTCCAGACCTCTGTCCAGACTGGACCAGGAATCCAGAGAAGCTTGTAGACAGGGTTGGAATTTGGAGCCGAAAGGGGACAATGATGGACTGTAGGCTGGTGGCCTCCTGACTGTCAGCCTATGAGAGCCATGTCTGAGGTAGGTCACCGGGGCATCTGCTCCTGAGACTCAGTGTGCTCAGCATAGGTGGGGAGGTGTGACAGGCAGTCAGCAGCTGTTCTGATGGTCTTCTGAGACCTCACAGGAAGGTCAGGAGCCCTAAAGAGACAGGAGGAAACGTGTATAAATGGCAGCTCCTTGGCCTCCTGGGGTCTAATCCAGGGAATATTTTCTGCAGGCAAATGGTAACAGATACTGCTGGTTGAAGTTCAGGTCATTGTTCATGTGTAAGGTTAACTTGCAGGCATGACAATGACAATGTGTCCCATTATAGAGAAATGGGACAGGAACCACAGTCACTGAGCCAGGGTTACATAGATCTTGAGAGGCTCGGGCTGTCTTTCCACAGCCTCTTGAGGTGCTCTTCATTCTCCTAGATAATTTTTTAAGTTCAGGATTCTCTTAAGGTTCCCTGATTCATTTTAATCAATATCAAACACCTGACAAGGATGACCCACCTGTAGCCCCTCCCCACCTGAACGCCAGCCAGATCCTGACTGTGTGAGATCTCTGACAGGCTGTCAGGTTTCTCAGGGAAGCTCAATGGGAAGACTAATCATGACCTATGTGTAGGACAGCCATGAACAGCAAAGGCTTGGAGGGCTCTGGTCTACACTGAGCAGAGGAGGTCAGTGCAGCTGGTGGAACTCACATATTGTGTCTCAAGGCACGCAATGGTCAGTGAGGACCAGGAGATAAAATGAGGTCTCTGATTCCAAGGCTTGAGTCTGTCCATCCCCAAACACTGCAGCTCACTTCACTCTTGAGAAAGCCCTGGCTTCTCCCATACACAGGTAAGGAGGCCCCATGAGCTCTGAGCACTCAGCTACTCCATCTGCCAGTAATTTGCTTCCTGCCTGATTCTTAAGGATCTGGGTAGGCGGTGAGATAAGAGGCCATCTCTGGTTGGGCGAGACCCTTGAAAGAATCAGAGATACCAGGCAGGGCAATTTCCTTTCTATTGTTTGCACAGCACAGCTACCCAAGCTCAACATCACAAGCAACAATTCCAATCCCATGGAGGGTGAGAACTTAGTAGATTTAATGTGTGAGCCTTAGACTCAGTTCATGGCACTCTGAATAGATAACTGGTACAACCATTCTCCTGAAGTCAAATACACACTTTTACAACCCAGGAGCCAAAACAAAACAAAACAAAAAACGTAAATCTACACACAGAGAATTGTACATGAATGTCATAAGAATCAATAATTTAAAAAACCCATCAGCAGAGAAACTGGACAGATAAACATGTGTTCACAGGATAAAACACTCAGCTACTATTAGAGAGATAACTGTGTAAAACAAAATGTATGGATCCTGCTGAGTACTGTGGCACACACCTGAGCACTTGAGCCCATAGGTCTAATCCATCCTAAAGAGAGCAAAATCCCATCTCAGGAAATATAAAATGAGGTAATGGTGACGGCTCCAGAATTGAGAATTCTTGCTGCTCTAGCAAAGGACCAAGTTTAGTTCCCAGCACACATGTCGGGTGGCTCACAACCACCTGAGACTCCAGTACCAGAGGTGGAAACACCCTCTTCTGGACTCTCTGTACATGGGGACACATGTATTTTACACACACACACACACACACACACACACACACACACACGCACGCACGCACGCACGCACACACACACACACACACACACACCATACAAACACAGCAGAAATAAAGAGAGGAAGGAAGGCAAGAAGGGCTCCTTTCCTGTCACCCTGTAGAAATCTCTGACAAATATACCCCCTCAGGAAGGATGAAGACACTGTTAGCAGCAAGCATCCTGGGGGTGGAGTGCTCACTTAGCAAGCCCAAGGCTTAGGTTTGACCCCATCACACAACAAACACAAAAAGAGGAGCTCAGTGATAGCCCAGTGAGTGAGTACCACTTGCCAGTCAAGCATGCGGACCTGAGTTGTTCTCATGTAAAGAGCTGGACATTTGTACTTTAAAGCCACTACAGGGAGAGGAAGAGATAG